TCCTGCTAACCACAAGATGGCTGCTGTGCCGCATCAACTGATGGTCAACTCTGCTTGCCAGAACTGCCTTCCGGAGACTGTATTCCATGGAGACTCACCTACAGTTGCGGAACTGCACGAGACCCACACTTGATCCAACCTTGAATGGAATCTATTTTCCCTATTGTTAAAAACTTTGGACTCGTGACCCCTCTCCCTCTACTCGCAGGTATCGCATTTTCAATGACCCCTCTGGAGGATAGCTGTCTATAGCAGAGATAGAGTAATTGGGAGAGGGGGAAAGGGCTGAGGGTCAAACATAGGATAAAAAACATATTTATATGTATGAAAGTAGAAATGGAACAGTATTGGTGACGACATGCTTGATTAAGACACTATGCAGTTTATCCTAGATGGGAAACTACACTTGGTGTGTTGTGATGATACTCAGGGAATGAGTGTTAGGCAATATAATTTAATATAAAAAAAATAATAATAAGCAGGAGGAAAAAAAAATGCACATTTGATGACTGAAGAGAGTTGTATGGACACAACTGGGGTCTACTTTATAATATGTTCATTCTACTCCCTGGGGTTTATGCCTAGGATCAGATTTGGATACATGTGTAAGGATATGTCAGCTGTGCTAGCTAGTGGATATACTTAGACTAATTGAGTTCATTGGTAGAACAATTGAATGGGGGGGCGGAAGGCATTGAGGGCAATCATGAATGTTAGGGACAATGGAGGAGGAAGATGGGACATGGCAGAGGGTGGGGATGGGGAATCTAGGATGGCAAAACAAAAGGCAAGGTATGCAGGACACAAAAATTGGGAAATCATTTGCTGAGAACATATATGTTGATGTGCTTGATTGAGCCAATGCACAGTGTATTTTGGATGGAAAATTCGTATGTGTGCTGTGATGAGAAAAAAACAAAGTATAAAAAAAAAAAAAGGAGAGAGAAGAGGATAAAGACAGCAGTGAACAATAGAGAGGCAGGATGTTAATGAGAAATAGATATGGTTTATTACCTGTTGATGATGACATGTATAGTATTCTCAACTGAACCAGTCTGGGAAGTATTTCATGATGGGTGAAGTCTTTTTAATAAGCAAAATGAGAAATAGTGATTGATTGTTTAAAAAAATTATAATAATAATTATTGGGAAAAGCATGGAAAAGATATTGAATGATAAAGCGGGGAGATTGATATCTCTGTATTGACTGACATGCATGGCATTCCCTTTTGAAAAAGCAATGGAAGTCAATGTAAAGTTATATGTAATCTAGTGTAATAGAAAGAAGATTATGATGATAAAAAAAAAATACAACAAGATTTTTTTAAAAAAATTTGAAATCTGACAAAAATAACTTGACACTGGTAATCCCCAAATGCTTGCCCCCGAGAAAGCCAAAACTGTTGTAAAGGAAGCTTGCATTTTGAGTTAATTATTATAGGAAAGGTCCATATTTAATTGTAACTACAAATTCTAAAGTCAAAATATGAACTAAGAAAGTAAAACTGGTACCATTCTAAGTAACTGGAAGAGGGATAAGCAAGCAATCCCAATCATCTCCTCTAGAACTTGACACCTTTTCCTAGCAGTGTCTAAATGTGTCTCCCCTAACCAATACACCAATTGTTGATACAATATTAAAGTCTTACCTTTCCAGTATAACACTTCCTTGCTCTGTATAACCAACAATTTTACTTCAAGAGATCTGGCAAGATGCCACCCGAAATGTGAAGAGGTGTGGGTCAAGGCACAGACGACTTTCTCCTCAATGACTGTCACTGATAGAACTGCTAACTGACAGTGAAGGAGGATTCTAGGGACACTTTAAAACTCTCTAAGCTGTATATAAAACTATACAGAGCTAAGAATAAATGATGGCTGCAGTTAAATTTCATTGTTAATAAGTAATTTTCATACAATAATTAGGAAATTGGATGGTTTCTATAATCACTTCTATGTTCATTTTACTGAAAACAGTAAAATTCTTTCAATCCGTTTTCTATAGAAAACGCCATCAAAATATATCTCCATTCCCCCCCCCCGCCACCAAAAAGAAAATTTCACTTCATCCAAACAAGTCAGGCTAAAGCTAATGTTTACAGATAACATACAATTCTGTCAAGGCTAAGAGGTAATTTAGAAATTTGGAATTAAGGTTAACATATTTCAAGTCTGAAACTATCTGGTTTCTAGCCTACGAAAGAAAAATATCCCAGCTGCCTTGTGAACAAGACTTTGCCAGGACATTAGAAGCATGATAGTGCTTTTCAAAAGTAGAAAGAAATGCCCCCGTGCTCTTGACAACGTTAGTTCTCCGTTCAGTTCTGCACAGCATGCTGTTTATTATTTAGGGTACAAAGCTTATTTGGTTTCTTTGTGATGAAGCTACAATAACAGAGCCCTTTTACATTCCTTGGAATACAAAGAATTTCACAAATTATTCAATAAATCTCCAATTTTCTATTTTCCAGTGCAATTTTTGTTATTTTCCTGCTCACCTCTGTGTCATTATTGAGATTCCACAAATCCAGTCTCCCCATGCCATCCACGCAGGCAAACAGGGCTGGGTGGGTGGGTGACCACATAACATCATAAACATAGTCCGAATTATCTTCAAATGAGTACAAAGGCTTGTTATTCTGAAAGGGAAGAGTTGATTCTTACTTAGTACAGTCAAAATATGACATACACACAAATCATTAAACTACTTATCACTGAAAAAAATAGACAATCATTCAACAGGCATGATACCATTTTAGGATATTTAACTCAGCCTAGAAAAGGTCCCATCTGTTTCACAATAGAAATTCCGGGCACTCTAAAGTAAGAATCAACTACTAGTCTGCATTTCTTTTTAACTTGTAGATACCATACTGTTTAGAAAAGAACAGAATTTGCTTTAAAAATATTCACCAATGAAAGGATTCTGGGGAGATAACAGTGGCACTATACTCTAAAACGCCCATAAAACTGAATAAAGCCAGGAGTAGAGCAAAATCAAAGATTCACAGATAATGTCTACCATGAAATCAGAACCAACCTCTAAATATAAGTAGGTGGGAACAAGCCACTGACAACTATGAGACCTGCATAGTCTCAGTACTGTGCGCAAAGAAATGCTGAGGAGGTATGAGAATGTCAGACAGCTGGAGAAGAGAGCCTCACAGTCAACAGTGAATGCTGTAGTGAAAGCCAGTCAGAAACAGAAAGTAGGAGTGAGTTCGGCACAATCCCATTTATAATAGAAATAGGTTGCAATGAGATAGAAGTAAGGTTTGATGGCACAGTCTGGGCCTCATAAACTTTCAAAATTAAAAGCCCCTTTCTAAGACAAAATCTCACTGAAGATAAGCTGCTGGGAATAGAACCCAAGTTGTAGAATACAGCAAAAAAAGAGACAAAGGTAAGAGAAGATTTAAAGTGGTGGAAACAGAAAAGACACAAAAAGTACAAGATATATGTGTATGTATGTGTGTGTGCATGCATGCACAATGTCTGTATTTCCCCACTTTACAAAAACTATAGGAGAGGGGCCGGCAGGTGGCATGGTGGTTAAAGGCGCTGGATTCCCACATGGCCGACCGTGGTTCAAGTCCTGGACCTGGCAGCTTGCTTTCTCACTCTCTCTCCCTCTCTCTCACTCTGTCCCTCTCTGGTCAAATTGAAATAAACAAATGAATAAATAATAAATAAAAAGTTAAATAAAATAATTAAAAAAAAAAAAAAAACTATAGGAGAGAGTCTGAAACTCACAAAGCTATCTTTTCTTGCCCTCTTTAAAGTATAGAAAAACTCATTTCACTAGTAGATAGTAAACAATAGAAAAAGATCTCAGTCAAATCCCATACAAAGTTGTTATGGTGTCAAGACAAGCAAATGGGGGGAAATTAGTCTTTTCAACAATGCTGGGGCAACTAGATATTCTCATGCAAAAGAATAAAGTTTAATCCCCTCCTTCCTCATATTACAAACAGAATTTAATTCAAATGTATCATAGATCTAAATCAAAGAGTTGAAATTACAAAACTCTTACAAGAAAGAACAGCAATAAATCTTTGTGGTGTTGGACTTGGTAATATTTCTTAGATATAGAAGGAAAAGGACATGAGACAAAAAAAAAGTATATACACTGGATGATATCAAAATTAAATACTTGTGTGCTTCAAATGATACCATCGAGAAAGTGTAAAACCTACACAATGGGAAAAAATATTTGCAAACCATTATTCTGATATGTGACTTGTATCCAGAACTCTTTCAAACAGCCAATAAGCATCATTAGTCATGAGAAGAATGCAAAACAAAACTACCATATGATGTTACCCACAACAAATGTGGGTAAAGATATGAGAAATCAGAACCCTCATAACTCATTGGTTGGAATATAAAATAGTGGTGAGGCACTAGGCACTATGAAAGACAGCTTGGCAGTTTCTCAAAACACTAATTAGTTACCATGTGACCCAACAATTCCACTCTTAAGTATATACCCAAGAAAAATGAAAACATGTGGGATCAGCAGATGGCGTAATGGTTATGTTGTTGGACTCCCACATGGCCGACTGTAGTTTGAGTCCCAGAACTGGCAGCTTCAAACGCATGCCAGGCACGTGTACATACATGCCCAAAATCCTGAGAGGAGAATGGAGGAGAAGGGATTGCAGAGTGGTCATCCCCTCTGGGGGGGGTTTCTCACTTTATGCCTCTCTCTCTCTCTCTCCCCAGTGAGCACATGTGCCCTATAGCAAAAAATCTCTCTTAAAAAACAAAAACAAATGTACATACCAAATGTGTATATAAATGTTCACAGCAGTGTTATTCATAATACCCCAAAGTGTAAACAACCCCAATGTTCATCAACTGATGAATGGATAAACAATAGATGGCATATCTATACAATGGGAATTATCTAGTCATAAAAAAATTAAGTACTGATATATGTTACAACATAGGTGATCCTTGAAAATATTATACGAAGTGCTAGGAGCCAGTACACACATTGTATGATTCATGAAATGTCCATGATCTGTTCCCAGAGGCATATCCATAGATACAGAGAGTAGATTAGTGATTTGCAGAAAATGAAGGAGAAGAAAATGAGGAGTGACCACAAATGGGTATAGGGCTTTTCTTTCTGAAATTCAAAAATGTTCTAAAATTAGATATTGGTGACAGTGAATATCTCATGAATCTACCAGAACCAGTAAATTGGGGTCAGCAGATGGCATGGTGTTGAGGACTTCCATATGGCCAACTGCAGTTTGAGTTCTAGGCCCGTCTGTTTCATTTATCACTTTTCCTCCCTCTCTTTCTGTTTCTTTTTGTTGAGTGCATGTGTCCTATTGCTAATTAAAAATTAAAAAAAAAATTAAATAAATCATTCTTTTTTTTTTTTTTTAAAGAGAGATTTTTGTGATAGGGCACGTGCACTCACTGGAGAGACAAAGAGATAAAAAGCGAGAAATCACCCCCCAAGAGGGATAGCCTCGCCACAATCCCTTCTCCTCTCAGGATTTTGGGCATGCATGCATGCACACATGCCCGACATGAGTTAAGCCTCTGGGTCTGGGATTCGAACCATAGTTGACTACATGGGAGTCCAGTGACATAACCGTTATGCCATCTGCTGGTCCCAAAATAAATCATTCTTAAAAAATAAAGAACCAATAAGCTGTATACTTTAAAAAGGTAACTATTATGGTATATGAATTTTATCATCTCAATAAAACTGTTCTTTAAAAAATTAAAGAAGAGACAAAGTAGATTTTTAAAAAGCAGTAGACAAAGATTAAAAAAGAAATATTCATAGAGGCAGGGTCTAGGAAGAAACAAAAAGAAAGTAATAATACAGAATACCAAAAATAAAACAACTCCCCTAAAATACAAGACAGCTTAAAACTACATATTGAAAGGTTATCCTGTGTATATAGGAAAATTGACCTGTTAAAGGAAAGAAAAAAAAGTCAGGTGATCATCTGGTTTTTCTTTTCTTTTTTTTTAGAACAACAACTCACAGGACCAGCAGGTGGCATGGTGGTTAAAGTGCTGGACACTCCCATATGGCCGACTGTGGTTTGAGTACCGGACCTGGTGGCTTGCTTTCTCACTCTCCCACCCTCTATGTATCTCTCCCTGGTCAAATTAGACTAAATGAATGAATAAATAAATAATAATAATAAAAAGAACTTTACAAGTAAGAACAAGAAAATCAGAGTGTCATGAGACAGTTTGTGCCAGAAGACAACAGAGTAACTAACATATTTAAAGTACACGAAGAAAATGTAAATCATGAATGTTATACACATACTAACCTTTATACCTATACTCTTCACTAATATGGGGGTAATGCACTTACGTGTACCTTTCTGAGGAATCTACTAAAAATAAGCTACAGACGGAACAAAAAGACTGAAGAAATTTCAACATAAAGACTGGTCAATATCCATGGGATTCATGAGTGCAGGCTTCTCTTCACAGGATTATAAACAATCTGTAAGTACGCAAGGGCCGGCTCTGTGGGCCTAGTAGTTAAGGCAGCCAAATCTCACATGGCTGATCCCGTATTTCAAGTCCTGAACCTGGAGGCCTGAAAAACAGGCTGGGTGTGTGTGCGTGCAAGTCAAAAACCCCAAAAAGAGGGAGAAATGGAGAAGGGACTGTAGCATAGCCATTCCTCATTGAGGACAATTTCTCCCTTTTACTCGTTCTCTGACCAATGCATTTGCCCTCTGACAAAAAAAAAAAAAAAAGACTACCACTACACACAATAATATGTATGATATCACAGGAATTCAAAATCTAGACTGTGGGACCGGCAGGTGGCATGGTGGCTAAGGGTGCTGGACTCCCACATGGCTGACCATGGTTCGAGCCCCAGACCTCATGGCTTGCTTTCTCACTTTCCGTCTCTTTCACTCTCTCTCACTCTGCCCCCTCTGATCAATTTAAAATAAATAAGTAAACAAAATAATTCTTAAAAAAAAATCCAGACTGCAAGAAACCTACAGGACAACTAACCTGGTTTCTTCTTCAAGAACAAAACAACAAGAAAAAAGAGGGAAGGAAATCTAAAGAAAGGGGCTTAGAGGCTAGGTGGCAGCTCGGCAGTGATACGACTGCATTTTCATAGGAAAAGTACTAGGTCTGCTTCCTTGGGATCGCTGAACACACTGGGGAAGCACATGTGTGTCTGTGATCCAGACCAGGTAAGACTAGGGGCAGATTGCAGCATGAAGATGCTGTTGGGGTGTCTGTCTCTATGATCTCTCTCTCAGAAGAAATAAATCAATTTCTAAAAAAAACACAAAAAAACAAAAAAAAACCTTCAGTTGGCATTTGTATACATTTAACATCAATACTATGTATTAATGTGAAATTGCAAATTAAAGTCTCAAATGGATTATTTAAGTACTTTTAAAAAGTAATTTTTTTCAGGACCAGTAGATGGCGTAATGGGTATGTTGCTGGACTCCCATGTAGTCCACCGTGGTTTGAATCCCAGACCCGGTGGCTTAAACTCACACCAGGTGTGTGTGTGTGCGTGCTCAAGATCCCAAGAAGACAATGGAGAAGGGACTGCAGTGTGGCCATCCCCCCTGGGGGGTGATTTCTTACTTTCTGTCTCTCTGTCTCTCTCTGC